AATAATTATTTATTTACTTAATAACAATGATAATAATTTTTTTGAATTTCCCTAGAATTCTTCACGAAACAATTGTGAATAATAATTTTATTATTCCGGCTGTTTAAATTTTTCCTACGACAAATTTTTTGACAAAAACAAGAAAAAAAAATAAATTTTATTTATTTAATTAGTGCAATTAAATGTTTATCATTACCATTAATTTCCTTATTCGACTGAAACTGTTAATTCACGAAACATTGTTTTGCTTACAATACAACTTTGAACAATGCATCAACGTCTTCAAATTTAGGACAAGTGTGGTAAATACCATGCAAATTATTTTAATTGTTTGAGAGAACATTAATTACTCAAATTCAATGTCAAACAGTTGCGGAAAAAATGGCTAAAAATTGATGCTAAACCATAAAATAAATAAATAATTTTTTATTTATATTTATTCAAATAAAAAATAAAAAATTTTTCACTCAAATTTAGAATTTAGAGAATATAGAAAAGTAGAAAATAAATAATTCGCAAAAATAAAACATAAAATTATTATTAATAGTTTCTCCGTTAGAAAATTTAGAAAGAAATTAATTAAAAGTAGAAAAAAAAAATTTGCTAATTTTTGAAAGAGAAAGATAGAAATTTAGTCAAAAATGTGAAATGATTGCGGAATTTCTCTCGTTGTTTTTTTTTTCTCTAGATATTCTGCCCAAGCGAGAGATCGATTTGAAAATGATCCTCGCGGGAATCGTATGAAACACGCCAGGCTGTTCTATAAATCTCAGCTCACTTTTACCGAAGGGAAAAATAAAGTTCAGGAATTTCCCCGAAGAGATTTTCATATACTTTCGGATATTATGAAAAACAGCTTGGACTTTAAATGTACATAACATGAGGTATCTCGTTTACTTAAATATTATTTGAATTTTTCCCATTCGACATATTCAATATAAAGAAAGAAAAAAATATTGTTTAAAAGCAAGAAGAAATTTTTTTTTACCCAATCCAAAAACAAATTTATTCAAATAAAACAAATTTTATTTTTATTTATTCAATTCGTTTCAATTTCGTTTATTTAAATTTAAATAATTTATCTACTTTTGCAGACTTCGCACTCAATAAATTCTTTATACTGCTAATAAATTGAATTCTTGCAACTAATTTTATTATATTCATGAAATATTTATTAAATAAATATTTATAAAAATAATTTAATTCTTGCGAAGAATTTTTTTTTAAATTTTTAAATAATTGATTTCTATCAACTAATTTTTATGAAAATTCAAATTTAAATAATTTAATTCCTGAGAAACTTTTATTATTCATGAAAAGAATTGAATTCTTACGAAGATTTTTAAAAGAATTTTTTTAAATAATTGAATTCTGTTTGGAAATTTTATGAAAATAGTAGAACTTAAAATTTATTGAATTGAGAAAAGTTTTTACAAATAATTAAATTTTACAAAAAATTCTATTAACATTTTCGAAAATAATTGAATGTAATGTGTGGGATTTTATTAAATTTTTTTGAAAATAATTGAATTCCTAAAAATCATTTTATTATTTATGAAAATAATTGAATAGTTGCAGAGTATTTTATTAAAATTTTCAAAAAATAATTGAATTCTTGAGAAGAATTTTATTATATTTATGAAAACAATTGAATTATTGCGAACAATTTTATTAAAATGGTTAAAAAGAATTGAGTTTCAGTGAAAAATTATGTAATAATTTTGAAAATAATTCATTTCTTCCAAAGAAATTAAAAAAATTGTATTATTTATGAAAATAATTAAATAGTTGCAAAGTATTTTATTAAAATTTTTAAAATAATTGAATTTACAAGAAAAAATTTATTACTTTTAAAAATAATTGAATTCTTGTGTTGAATATTGTGATTTGTGAAAATAATTGAATTTTGCAAAGCATTTTATTAAAGTGCATTAAAATAATTGAAATTTCGGGAATAATTTTGTCATTTATCGAAATAATTGAATTCTTTGGAAGAATTATTTATGTAAATAATTGAATTTCTGAGAAGAATTTTATTAAAATTTAAAAGAATAATTGAATTATTTCAAAAAAATTTAATTATAGAATTGTAATTTCAAAGAATTGATTTCTTTCGAACAATTTTATTAAAATATTTGAAAATAATTGAATTCTTGGGAAAAATTCTAATATTTTGGTAAATAATTGAATTCTTCCAAAGAATTTGACAAAAAACATTGTTTTTTAAATAATTGATTTTTTCGAGAAATTTAAATTAAATTTTTAAGAATAATTACATTTTTGGGCAATTCCTGTAAAATTATAGGTATTCAAAATAATTAAAATCCTGCGATGAATTTTATTATTTATGAAAATAATTGAATAGTTGCAAAGTATTTTAATAAAATTTTCAAAAATAATTGAATTTCAGAGAAAAAATGTATTGTTTAAAAAAATAATTGAATTCTTGTGATGAATATTGTTATTTATAAAAAATAATTGAATTTTTCAAAGAATTTTATTGAAATCCTTCAAAATAATTGAATTTTCAGAAATAATTTTGTTATATTTATCGAAATAATTGAATTCTTGGGAAGTATTTTTAAAAAATTTTTTAAAATAATTGAATTCCTGAGAAGAATTTGATTATTTGTGAAAATAATTGAATTATTGCGAAAAATTTTATTAAAATATTTGAAAATAATTGAATTCCTGGGAAAAATTCTAATACTTTGGTAAATAATTGAATTATTCCTAAGAATTAAAAGAAAACCTTTTTTTTTAATAATTGATTTTTTCAAGAAATTAAAATTAAATTTTTAAAAATAATTACGTTTTTTGGGAAATTCCTGTAAAATAATAATTTAGATAAAAATAAAAAGATAAAAATAATTGAGATCGTGCGATGAATTTTATTATTTATGAAAATAACTGAATAGTTGCAGAGTATTTTAATAAAATTTTCAAAAAAAAAAATAATTAAATTCCTGAGAAGAATTTGTATTATTTATAAAAACAATTGATATATTATTAAATGTTTGAAAAGAATTGAATTTTAGTGAAAAATTTTGTTATTTTTTAAAATAATTGAATTCTTCATAAGAATTTTATAAACATTGTTTCAGATAATTAATTTTTTGAAAATATTATAAATAATGAAAATTTTATTTCAAATAATTGAATTCTTGTGTAAAAGTTTATTTGTGAAAATAATTGAATTTTGGGATGAATTTTATCAGTTTTTTTTTTAATAATTGAATTCTTTTGCGAAATTTTATGCAAATATCAAATATTGAAAATAATAAAATTTTTTGGAAGAATTATTTATGTAAATAATTGAATTCTTGGGAAGAATTTTATTAAAATCTAAAAGAATATAATTGGATTATTTCAAAAAAATTTAATTAGAATTGCAATGTAAAATAATATTTCTTTCGAACAATTTTATTAAAATACTTGAAAATAATTGATTTCCTGGGAAAAATTCTAATATTTTTGTAAATAATTGAATTCTTCCAAAGAATTTAACAAAAAAAACCTTTTTTTTAAATAATTGATTTTTTTGAGAAATTGAAATTAAATTTTTAAGAATAATTACATTTTTTGGCAATTTCTGTAAAATAATATTAAAAATAATTGAAATCCTGCGACGAATTTTATTATTTATGAAAATAACTGAATAGTTGCAGAGTATTTTAATAAAATTTTCAATAAAAATAATTGAATTCCTGAGAAGAATTTTATTATTTATAAAAATAATTGAATGAATGCAAAAAAAAGTTTTTTTAAATAATTGATTTTTTCGAGAAATTGAAATTAAAATTTTTAAGAATAATTACATTTTTGGGCAATTCCTGTAAAACAATATTAAAAATAAGTGAATAGTTGCAAAGTATTTTATTAAAATTTTCAAAAATAATTGAATTCCTGGGAAGAATTTTATTATTTATAAAAATAATTGAATGATTGTGAAAAATGTTATTCAAAAAGAATTGAATTTCAGTGAGAAATTTTGTTATTTTTGAAAATAATTGAATTCTTCATAAGAATTTTATATACATTGCTTCAGATAATTAATTTTTTCGAAATATAATAAATATTATGAAAATTTTTATTTTAAATTATTGAATTCTTGCTTAGAATTTTATCAAACCTTTTTTTAAAAAATTGAATTTCTACGAAAAATGTTATTATTAGTGAAAGTAATTGAATTGTTGTGAAGAATTGAATTTTGCATGAATTTTATCAATTTTTTTTTTAATAATTGAATTCTTTTGCGAAATTTTGTGAAAATACTAGATATTGGAAATAATTGAATTTCGTATATTCTTTGAAAATAATTGAATCTTTTTGAAGAATTTAATTATAATTTTTGAGAATAGTTTTTTTATTTCTAGTATTAGCCAATTTAAAGTAGTGTAAATTCTCAAAAAAAAAAAAAAAAAAAAAACAGAAATAGTATAGCTTTCAGTGGCTGGAATCTAAAAAAAGTAGGTTGCATTTAATAATATAATTATATTCGAATAGGAATTCAATTATTTTTAATATTATTTTACAGGAATTGCCCAAAAATATAATTATTTTTAAAAAATTAATTTCAATTTCTCGAAAAAAGAAATTATTTAAAAAAAAATGTTTTTTGTCAAATTCTTTGGAAGAATTTAATTATTTACAGAAATATTAGAATTTTTCCCAGGAATTCAATTATTTTCGAATATTTTAATAAAATTGAAAATAAAATAAAGTAAAAGGTGTGAAAAATCTTGACCGCAAAGAATGCTCCACCCCCAAAGTGTCGATCACACCTGCGCTAATATGCATCAGAACCAATCACTTTAGAGAATTATTGAATCAAAAAGGATACGACAAATCTGGTACAGCGAATGCTAATTATCTTACCCCACTAAAAATAAAGAGTTTTCTAAGAAGGGATGACGCTCCTTCTTCGAATTCTCATTTACCTGCTAAGTCATTAGAATACTGGTAGCTTTTCAAGTGTCACCTAGTGTTTTTTGCTACAGCTTTCCAAAAAAAATAATTCTTCACCATGTCCACCAAAATCAAAGCCATACCACACAAATCCTGTTGTGTTCATACAAAAAAAAACATTCCAAAAGATCTCGAAATCGAGGACTCACCAAAATCACTTTCATCATCATTCAGCAGTGCTAAAAGTAAAAAACAAATTTTACCATTTTTCCCCCCCGCATTAAAATGTGTCAAGAAAAAGTGCATCAATGTGATTCGAATAGTTCACGCAACTTACAATCATTTGCAAAACAGAAGAAGAATAGCCAAGAAGATGGCTAAACAACAACGTTCAATGGCAGCTTTTAAGGAAGGACTTTCAACTTTTTCTTTTTGCTCCTCCGATGAAGATGATGAAGACGAAGACGAAGAAGATTCATTCGAAAATTTTATCTCTTCAACTCATGATTCGAACAATAATTTAATTTCAACTCTACCGGAAAATTTGCAACTTGATAAATTTCTCCAATTGTTGAAACGAATGGAGAACAAGGATCATCAAATTTCATCGAGGAACTCAATCAATCCATCAACATTCAATCAATCCATCCATCCAGTGAATAAAAATGCTCCTAAAAAATACCTAAAATTAATATCATTTCCCCTCGATAATATCGAAAAATCAGAACAATTTCTGATTGATAATGATAAGAAAATTAGGAGAGATTTTTGTGTTGTGAAATCGTCAGTGACTTGTAAATATCCAACGAAATTTAATAAAGTTTTATTGAATCATAGAAGTGGTTGTGTTGTCACGGACAATTTTGAGAGGGAGAAGAATAAAGAAACTGTTGATGCGAATCCTTTTCCAAATTTTGATATTTGTAGGGGTTTTCAATTTGTCAGCATTACAAGAGAGAGTGATAAATTTTGTGAATTGAAGGTGAACAAGCCGGAAATGTCTCTTGTTACTAATTATCAAAGAATTAATTTGATGAGAAATTTGGAACCAATTGTCGGTGAAGATCAAGGGGAGAAGAAGATGAAGGAGCCATTTTTGACATAGTTCTCAATTTTTTGTTCAGCAAGCACGAGGCAAAGGTAAAATATTTTTAAAAATTTTACTATATTTTTTAGTTCAACTAAACATTTACTTTGAGTGACTAAATTCTTTCTTCGAATGTAAAATTTATCAAAACTGAACTAAATATTTATTTGGTTCAAATAAATTTTTCTTTGATTCAAAATAAATTTTATTCGGAACAATTACAATTTTTTAGCTTAAAATAATTTTTCTTTGTTTCAAATAATTTTTTTTTTTTTTTGTTTTTTTGTTATTCTGTGCAAATAAATTTTATTTTTCTGATTGAAACCAAACATTTATTTGAATTAAATAAAAGTACATTTTGTCTCAGAGCCAACTATTTATTTGTTTTAAATAAAAATTTTTAATAGATGTAAACAAAATTTTATTTGGTTCGAATAATATTTTATTTAAACCCAAAGAAAAAATTATTTCAGACCAAATAAATTGTTTTTCAACCAAATAAAATTTATTTTGAAACAAATAAAAAGTCACAGAGTCTATTAAATTATTCAATTATTTTAAATAAATATTTTCTTTAGTGTAAATCAAATTTTTAATTGAGTTAAAATAATATTTAGTTGAACAAAATAAAATTTATTTAAACAGAACAAAATTCATGTTGAGATAAAGGAAAAATTTATTTTAAACTAAATAACATTTAATAAGAATGAAATTTATTTGAACTGAATAAAATTTACTATACTTTTTATTATATAAATACTTTTTTATTATAAAATAAAAAAAAAAAATTAAAAATTTTGAATCAATGAAGAATTTATTTTCAACTAAAAAAAATTAATTGAACTGAATGAAATTTATTTGAATCGAACGAAATATATTTGAATCAAGTTATAATTTATTTTGAATCAAATAAAATTTATTTTGAACAAAGAAAATGATTTGAAAGCAATAAAATTGATTTGAAGCAAATTTTATTTTTGAGCAAAATAAAATTTATTTGAACCGAATAAAATATATTTAAATCGAATAAAATAAATTTGAATCAAATAAAATTTGTTTTGAACCGCAAAATAAAAAAATTAAAATATTAAATAAGAAATTTATTTTTATGTTACAGAAAAATCAACATCAAAAATAATTGTACACAGGAAGGAATAATCATCATGTTCGTGTAAACAAAAATTTGGACGAGTATTTCCACCAAAATGTTTTCTAGTCTTTTTACTGGCAGTTCATTCTCAAATAGCAATATAAATTTTTTGCAATTTATTTTTAATAAAAATTACTGTCATTTGTAAATAAATTCTTTTACCAAATAATATTCCAAACGAAACTTTCTGTATTTTCTACAATATGTCAATAAACTTATTGTTTTATCGAAAAAATATTTTTTATTCTTAAATTTTTACTCACGAGTAATTAAATACTATTTGTAAACATCTCCTAAAAGAATTTACCTAGAACATTAAAATTAGTTTACAAAATCATATTTTCTATTAATTCTTCAAATCATTTTAATTGTCATTATTTTTTAAATTTTTATGATGAACTTCAAAAGATTTTGATTTAAAATTTTGTAAAATTTCAATTTCTAAATGAATTTAATTAGAAATATATAAAAAAACTTAGAATTAAAAAAAAATTTTTAAACTAAAATTCTTTTTGAAATTATAGTTAAATTTTTTAATATATTTTTAATGGAATTCCTCGAAAAAAGTTATTATTATTAAAAACTTTATTAAAATTTATCAAAGAAATTTAATTATTTCAATAACCTTTGCTACAATTTATTTATTAGAATTTAAGTATTATTTTCAATAAATTTTTAATTAAATTTCTTTAAAGAATAAAATTATTTTCAAAAATTTTAATGAAATTCTTTGCGTAACAATTCATTTTTTTGCAAAAATAATTTTAATAAAATTCTTCACAGAAATCCAATTATGTTTAAAAATTAACAAAAATTCTAGTCAACATTTCAATTATCTTTATAAATAAAAATAATAAAAATTTTTTTCGAAATTCAATTATTTTCAAAACTTTTAATAAAATTTTTGACAGAATTTAAATTATTTTTAATACAATTTTCATCAAATTTCTCGAAAAATGCAATTATTTTTAAAAATTTTATTAAAATTAGTCAAGAAAATTTAATTATTTAAAAATTTGTTGATAAAATTCTTTATGAAAATTCAATTTTAAGAAATATTCAATTGTTTAATAAAATATTTATTTTTATAGTTAAATAATTGAATTCTCGTAGAATTTTCTAATAAATATTGATTTAAAAATTAATTTTAAATTAAAATCATTGAAAATTTGAACTTTTTATACTTTTAATTTAAGAATTCTATAGAATTAATTGAATTCATGACAAAGAATATTATAAAAAATTTTTAATAATAATTGAAATTCTGCGATGGGTTTTATTATTTATGAAAATAATTGAATTTCTGCAAAAGAATTTTTGTAATTTTTTCAAAATAATTCAATTCTTCCGAGGAATTTAATTTAAATTAAAAATAAATAAATCGTTTTAAAGAATTTTATTGACATTTTTTAAAAATAATTAATTTCCTAGAAAGAATTTCATTATTTATGAAAATAATTGACAATTATTGAGAAGAATTGTATTATTTACGAAAGTAATTTAATTTTAGTGCAGAATTTTATAAGTTATGAAAATAATTGAATTTCAACGAATAAATTTTATTATTTATAAAAATAATTCAATTTTTGCGAAGAATTTAATTATTTAAAAAAATAATTGAATTCATGGGAAGAATTTTATAAAAAATTTTTTTAAATAATTGAAATTATGCGATGAATTTTATTATTTATGAAAATAATTGAATTTTAGAGAAGAATTTTTGTAAATTTTTCAAAATAATTCAATTCTTCAATTATCTTTATAAATAATAACATTATTCTCCGAAATTCAATTATTTTTATAACTTTTAATAAAATTCTTTGCAGAATTTCAATTATTTTTAATACAATTTTCATCAAATTTCTCGAAAAATTCAATTAAAATTTGTCAAGAGAATTCAATATTATTTAAAAATTTGTTGATAAAATTTTTTATAAAAATTCAATTTTAAGTAACATTTAATTATTTAATAAAATATTTATTTTTATAGTTAAATAATTGAATTCTCGCAGAATTTTCTAATAAAATTTGAACTTTTCATACTTTTAATTAAGAATTCTATAGAACTAATTTTTCTCAATAAATTTAATGGGATTTTTTTTGAATTATTGGAAGTTTTTATTCTATAATTATTTAATTGAAGAATTAAAGAATAATTAAAATTCGTAAAATTAAATATTGTAAACAAAAGAATTTGAAAATTCACAAAGAATTTTTTAAAAAATTATTTTTATAAAATTGATTTAAAAAAGAATTTTAGTTGAAAGAAAATAATGATTAAATATTTATTTAAAAGTGAAGTTATTGATGTTTTCGAATAATTTTCATTTTAAAAACCTGAGAAAATTCCTTTTTTTAGCCTGGAAAAATCAGGGAATTTCATTTTTATTTAAAACAAATACAAAGTATAGTTGGTTCTGAGAAAAATATAAGTTTATTTAATTCAAATAAAATATATTTGATTTAAATAAAATTTTTCTCTGGGCGCATTTTAATTATTTTTATTTCAATTATTTTGATTTTGATTATATCGATTTTAATTATTTTGTTTTCAATTATTTTCAATTCTTTTAATAATTTTAATTATTATAATTTTTATAATTATATTATCTAACAATTTTCTAATTAAACTTCTAAATTTAAAGAAATAAAAATTTCCGAATAAAATTCAAATAAATTATTTTTGTTGAAATAAAATTTTTTTTTTTTTGCGAAACTTAAAATAATTAATTATTTTTAATGATAAAGAGGATTTTTCTCTTTCATTTTGCACAGCGCGAAAAAAAAGGGGGAAAAAAGGAATTTTTAGTTAATACTGTTTATTTTGGTCCCAGTGGTGCTTATTTGTAACTGTCTGATATATTTTCTCTTTACTCAGAGAATGTCTTGAAACGCCCTTATTATCCTTGCCAATTTTTCAGGTCGAGCTTAGTAAGCAACACGAAGACTTTTTCGCAAATGAGAATCGTTCTTAGAATTTCTTTTTTTTTACTTTTAAAAAAAACTAAATAAAATTAAGGCCAAAAATTACATAAATTAATTACAGTAGTCTCTTACATAGAGTCTTATCGTCTTTCTTTTACTCTCAGACACTTACAATTAGCGTCGTCACTTTTCCTCCTTCTCTCTTTCTCTCTATCTTTTGCTATCAAACATTTTTTTTTTTTGCAAAATTTGTTTTATTTATTAAATTTTAACTAAATCAGTAAAAATAAATAAAATTTCGGTCATTAAAGACAATTTAATTATTTTTCTTTATAAATATTTTCTATGAATAATTTTATAAATAATTTTCTATAAATAGTCTTCTAAAAATATTTCCTATAAATAATTGTCTATAAATAGTTTTCTAAAAATATTTTCTATAAATAATTTTCTAGAAATAGTTTTCTATAAATAATTTTCTAGAAATAGTTTTCTATAAATATTTTTAATCTAATCCATATATAGAAAAATTAATCAATAAAATTATACCCACGCACAATTAAATAAATATTGCATTATCTAATTAATAAATAAAAAAATACTAATTTAGAATTAATTTTTATATAGTCAAAAATAAATTGAGTTAATCAGCGATAAGTAGAACATTTTTCTAATTAATTACAACCTGCATTCACTATATATCAAAGACTTACAAATTTTGACTCGAGGGATGACACAAGCACTTCCTTATTGATTCATCCTTCCCATCATTTCAGTCCTGTAAAAAAACAAAACAAAGTTATTAATCATTTTTATCAATAATATCACATGAAATAACATGAAATATTGCTAATTAATTCTACACTATAATATGTACCTATATAAAAAAAAAACTCTTAAGAATATTAGTCGAAAATCCAAAAATATACACTCAGATAAAAATGTCAATCAATTAAAGAAAAAATTTATAATACAATTTTTTTTATTTATTAGACAAATAAACTCTATTCGCTTAATTTCGTTTCTTTTTCAATAATTTGATTCACTGAAATAGAATAACTTTTCTCTGAAGTGTGAAAAGTTGAAAAATAAAATGAAAAAGAATTAAGTAAAATAATATAACTATAATATAAATAATAATAATAATAATAAAATAATGAAATAATAAAATAATAAAATAATAAAATAATAAAATAATAAAATAATAAAATAATAAATAATAAATAATAAAATAATAAAATAATAAAATAATAAATAATAGAATAATAAAATAATAAAATAATAAAATAATAGAATAATAAAATAATAAAATAATAAAATAATAAAATAATAAAATAATAAAATAATAAAATAATAAAATAATAAAATAATAAAATAATAATAATAATAATAATAATAATAATAATAATAATAATAACAATAAATTAAGTAAACTAGGTAGTATTTAACATTTTTACTTATAATGAAAATCGAATTAAAAAAAATATTTCTCAAAAATATCACATAGCGAAAATTTTTCTTTTCGATGAACAAAATTTTCCATTTGAAGATAGTTACATTTTTTTCATTTTTTTTTTGTAAATAATTTGAAAAACGATGCTTGAAAATGTATTGTACAATGGTCATTGTTCGGTTGAAGGTTGAAAAATTAAATTTTTCTTCACTCGATTGAATTCTGAATTTGAACTTATAGCGTTCCGCAGGTAAAATAATCAACTCTCGTCGTTTCAGGTCGTTTATCAAATCACTTTTTACTTCTCCCGATGCAGTGATTCCTTTCTTGTATTTCGCCTCTCTATCTTCAATTCTACTTATATCGAAAAAAAAGAATTTTTCTTCAAATTCTATTATCAATTTTTTTTCAATTTTTTTCTCTCTCATTCCTATATTAAATTTAGATTATATTTATCAAGTGAAACAATTCTAGAGATTTAATATGCGCCAAGGAAGTGAGGAATTTTTTTCTATCATTTTTTCTTTGACGAAAAAAAGTTTAATCTTTTAAATTTAATCTGAATTTTTTAATTTAAAATTTTAATCTAAAGCAGACAAATTACTGACAAAAATATAACCAGTTTTGAATCAAATAAGAGAATATTTTATTTAAAATTATAAATTAAATTTTTAATAAGTATAAAACGTGAAGATATCGATAACTCCGAGTCTTCGACTCGGAGAGATCGATTTCTTCATGTTTTCTAATAATTAAAAATTACCGAGAGATAAAATCATTATTTTATATTATAATAATATTGTTACTGTAACTTTATCAAAATTATTTTCATCA